TATATACTTTATATATTATTATATATTTGATATGTAGGTATACTTTGGTACACAACTTTATACTTAACTTACGTTTGTATGTTCGGGATCCTAGCTATTACATATAAATTCACAATCAAGACTTAGTGCATATTGAGATATAGTATTTAGATGTGGTTCCTATCGTAAACTGCGAAATGTAGAAGCCCATTTACCGTAAAATTTACAAATGCTTTTAAATACGACACATGTGCGGTCTCGTTAACGTTGGCGTAATCTGCTCTCTCAGGTCGACGACCAGATGAAGCTGCTGCACGTCTCCTGGTCTGAGATGCTCATGCTGGACCACATCTACCAACACAGTGCCAACGGCCTGCCGGACGAGACTCGGCTGCCCAACGGTCAGAAGTTCAGCCTGGCAAACATGTGCCTGTTTGGTTTCACAAACATGGCTGACCGGCTAGAGGAGCTCTTCAGGAAGCTGCGTCAGCTGAAGTTTGACCGCAATGACTACATCTGCCTTAAGTTCCTTATTCTTATGAATCCAGGTGAGCAGTGTGTGAGGGCGAGAGATAAGGGGAGGGACGGGGGGAGAAAGAAAGAGCGAGATGTGATAGTAAAAGAGGAAACAGTGGTTAATAGAGTGAGCGATCAAGCAAGAGAGAGGAAAGAGCATCAGAGAGTGAGCGAGCAATCGTGAGCGTGAGAGGAGACAAGGGAGAGGGGAGGGAGAGAGAGAGAGCACAGCCATTCATGTTGTAGCTGACAATTACGTTCCTCAACGTAATTAAGTTGATTGCGTTTCCTCCTCGTGGAATGGGTGTAGGCATATAACGTTTGCATGCGCACGTGCATCTAAGTACATGTCTAGTTGGGTTGGTTTGGGCAGAAGTTTGAGCATCTCGCATGCTTATGTGTTGTACGGGCTGCATTAGCATGGAATACTCCCACTTGTGTCCGATTAAATAATTCACTTGCGAGAAATACCCTTAAGCCAAAGTAACTGTCAGGAAGCTATCTGTGATTCGCCACACACTCATCATGACTCAGAGTCAAGCGGTTACTTGTGTGAATAACATTTTCATCGGTAGATGGCGTGATGTGTCGCCCCAGGGGCGAATGCCGTTTACTGTACCGTAGAGTTTGGACGCTCGCCCGAAACTTGACGCTCCTAAGTGCGCATGCGTGCAGGCGCCTCTTGTTTTGCAAAGGCGCATGTGCAGCATGCGCAGTAGTCGTCTGCGCTTCTCGCCCATCGAAAACGGTCGCAATAAACAAACATGGCGGCCAACCCGGTCACTCAACGTCACATCGGGTCACATTACGTTACGTCACATTACGTCACATCGGGTCACATTACGTTACGTCACATTACGTCACATCGGGTCACATTACGTTACGTCACATTACGTCCACAGTCGGGTCACATTACGTTACGTCAACATACGACTCCACAATCGGGGTCAACATTCACGTTACGTCACATGCACGTCACACTCACGTCCAGCATTACCGTTACGTCACTCCACGTCACCATCGGGGGTCACAATTAGCGTTACGTCACATTACGTCCACATATCGTGCGACAATTACGTTTACCCATCAGTACATTACGTCACATCAGGTCCATTACGTTACGCTCAGCATCACGTCACATCGGGTCACATTACGTTACGTCCCATTACGTCACATGGGTCACATTACGTACGTCACATTAGCGTTCGTCAATTACGTCACATTACGTCCCACATCGGGTCTACATTAGCGTTACGTCAGCATACGTCAGCATCGGGTCACATTACGCTACGCTCACATTTACGTCAAGCATACGTTCACATTACGTTACTGTCACATTACGTCACAGTCACGTCACATTACGTTAGCGTCACAGTTACGTCAAGCATTACGTGCACTCACGTCACATCGGGGTCTACAAGTCACGTCACATATACGTCACAGTCGTGGTCACATCGGGTCACTTTACGTTACCGTCACATCACGTCACATCAAACGTCACATGTACGTTACCGTCAGCATTACGTCACATTACGGTCACATTGGGTCACATTACGTTACGGTCACATTAACGTTACGTCACATCACGTCACATCGGTCACATTACGTTACGTCACTTACGTCACATCGGGTCACAATCACCGTCAATTATACGTTACGTCAGCATTACTCACATCGGGTCACATTACGTTACGTCACATGCACGTCACAGTCACGTCACATTACGTGCACATTACGCTTACGTCAATTCGTTACTCGTCACATACGTCAGCATGTACGTCAAATCGCTCACATTACGTACGTCAACATTTACGTACCGGTGCATCGGGTCACATTACGTTACGTCACCTCACGTCACATTATCGTCACACATCACGTCACTTAGCGTTACGTCACATTACGTCACACGATTAACGGTCACATTACGGTTACGGGTCACATTACGTCACATCGGTCCACACATTAACGTTACGTCACAATTACGTTTACGTCACATCACGTCACATTTACATTACGTCCAGCATTACGTTACGTAACCATTACGTCACATTAACGTTAGCGTCAGCATTACGCTTACGTAACATTACGTCACATCGGGTCACTATTACATATACGTCACATCACGTCACATTACGTTATCGTCACATTACGTTTTGTCAAGCATCACGTCACCATCGGGTTACATTATGTTGACGTCACATCACGTCACATCGGGTCACTTACGTTACGTCACCTTACGTCACATTGGGTCACATCACGTCAACATTAACTTCCGTCAGCATTACGTCACATCGGGGTTAGATTATTTACGTCCACATCACGTCACCAGTCGGGTCACACTTTAACGTTAGCGGTCAGCAGTACGTCACAGTCGCGCGGTTACGATTACGTTACGCTCACATTATCGTCACATCGGGTCACCATTACGTTACGCTCAGCATTACGTCACATCGTCACATTACGTTACGTCACATCATTACGTCAGCATCGGTCACATTACGTTAGCGTCAATTACGTCACATCGGGTCCACATTACGTAGTCAGCATCACGTCACATTTGACGTCACATCGGGGTCACATCACGTCGACATTACGTTAGCGTCACATTCGTCACGATAAGAAAAGGAAAAAAAACGGGGGTGAGGCATCGGGTCAGCATCACGTCACTTAGCGTCAGCATCGGTCACATCACGTCAGCAGTTACGTTACGTCCGAGTTATCGTCACATCACGTCAACATTACGTTCCGTACTCACGTCACAGTCGGGTCCGACATGTACGTTACGATCAGCATTAACGTCCATCGGGTCACATTACGTTACTCACATCACGTCACATCGGGGTCACATTCGTTACGTCACATCACGTCCACACCTGCGGGTACATTACGTTACGTCACAGTCCACGTCACGATCAAGGTCACATTACGTTCACGTCACATTACCGTCACATCTGGTCACGATCAGCGTTACGTCACATTAGCGTCACTCGGGTCACGAGTGACACTTTACGTCACATTACTCAGCTCGGGTCCATTACGATAGGTCACATTACTCACATCTGGTCACATTCACGTTACGTCAACTCGGGTCGAGCATTACCATTAGCGTCACATACGTCACATCGGGTCACATTACGATAGGTCACATTACGTCAATCGGGTCACATTACGATAGGGGCCGTGACACATTACGTCACATCGGTCACATTACGATTACGCTCAGCATTAGCGTTCCAGATGGGGTCACATTACGATACGGTCACATTACCGTCCACATCGGGTTCCATTACGGTCACATTGACGTTACGTACATTCGGAATCAGCCATTGACGTTACGTCACAAGTCGGTCACATCCATGTCACATTACCGTTACGATCAGCCATCGATCAACTTACGTTACTCACATCGCGTCACATCACGTCACATTAACGTTAAGCGGGATCACACGATTCACGTTTACCGTCACATCACGTTACATCGGTCAATCTCAATGCACGCTCTGCCCCTCTGTCTTGCAGACGTGTCGGGGCGCTGCTACCAACCGGCCGAAGGTGGTGGAGAGCGGCGGCAGGAGAAGTTCAAGACTGAGCGACGTGCGTGGAGTACTGGCGAAGAGCCTTCCATCCAGCACCCAGGTCGAGAGCGAGCCGCCTTTCGACAGGATGGGGTGCTGGGGCGTCTGCCGGCAGCTGCGGCTAGGCTGCAAGCAAGTTCCGCGGCGAGGGCGAGGGGTTCCTTCAGCTTCAAGGCACGCTCAGTGGCGGGCGGCTCCGGACCCAGAACCCTGTGCTCGATGAGATGCTGTCACGCCAAACGGGTGCGGCTCTGAGGGTGCAGCGGCGACACGCAGACACTGCCACCAGGAGGCGCTGGCGACGAGAGATACGGCCACCAGGAGGCGCTGGCGATGAGCAGACACGGCCACGCCAGGAGGCGGGTGCGACGAGCAGACACGGCCACGCAGGGGAGGCGCTGCGACCAGCAGACAGCGGCCACGCAGGAGGCGGATGTGACGAGAGATTGCAGCCCCACAGGCGCGCTGGCAATGGAGAGGAATCGGCCAGCCAGGAGGGCGCCGACCGATGAGAGGATTGGCGGCCACCGAGGGAGGCGCCGAGGGATGGGGAGAGATTGGGGGGCCGGAGCCAGGAAGGCGGCTGGCAATGGAAGATGTGGGCCAGCCACCCAGAGGCGCTGGGCGCGAGAGATCGGGCACCAGGATGCGCCGGACGACTGAGGAGATTGCAGCAGCGCCAGGAGGCGGCGGCGATGGAGAGATTGCAAGCCACCAGGAAGCGCGCGTCGGAGGTGTGAGATTGGCCAGGCCACCAAGGAGGCGCTCGACGAGTGAGAGAGTGGTCGCGGCACGCACCGGCAGGAGGTGCATGGTCGTGGCGATGTTTACGAGTACCAAGGACCACGGGCAGCGAGGGACTGGAAGATAGCACCACCACGGGAGCGGGCCGGCACCCACGGAGTCAACTCGGGGCTCGCCGTCCCGGGGCACGTCGAGCGTGCGCGCGTGTGAGGGGCGGCAGTGTTCGGGTGGCGTGGTGCAGGAGAGAGAGAGCAAGCAAAGTGACTTGGTCTGTCCCGCCTCTTGATGCAAGACGCGGCAGTGATGGAGCGCTGGGTGGTTACCGCGCAGCCACCACACGTCCTACGTTGCGTTGTCAGTGTGTGCATCTATCGATCATTGCTCGTATGTGCAACACAGACCGCCATGACGGCGTTGCATCTATATCACATCTCGTCGGTAAAAGTAAAGGCCTTGGCATATTCACTGCCCATCACGTCCACGCCTCATTGTGAGTGTTAGGCAAACTCGAGTACAGCGACATCGAAACAGAAACACATGCTATAGTTAGGACCAATGACTGGCAAACTCTCTCACTCCTCCTCTTTTCTCTGAGGTGCCCGCCGGGTCTCTAGCTCCCCTCTCTCTCTCTCCTCTCTCTCTCTCTCTCTCTCTCTCTCTGCTGCGTGGCGTGCGCACATTTGTCTCAGTGGAGGTCTTGGCACTTCAGAGGT